GTAATGTTTACAATTTATTGCTCATAATCATATCAAGGTGATATATGATATGATTATGAGCAGTAATAAATTGAGCTCGAAACGTCATCAGTAAACATTACTGTATAACACTGTGGGACTTTATCTAAACAAAATTTACCCATAATGGAACTACAGGGTCACCTTGTTTATCTGGTAAGCATTCTGCCATTCAGGTATTGGTCATCCTTACAGGTACTAAACAGGTCCAATGTTGCTTGTAACTACAACGATCAAACGAGATCTGGAGTTCTTAAAGTGATATGATTCCCGATAACATTTACATTATCTGATTCGTTCACACACACACATGCACAGTCATCGTAATTTTAAGCAGACTGTCACAAATAAGATTCTGTGATTGTCCCATATGCTGCTAGTCTGGTCTTTTCTATTCGTTTATAAAAATCACTGACTTTCATAACTTTGCTTTAATTGACTAACTTCATGTAAGTTTTTGATATTTAGCGAAACTGCTTTTGTGTTTTGTGAATTTTGATATAACTATAATTCCGATATAAGAAAAGAGAGTTACTCCTTTTTTGGGCAATATCATTCTGAAGTTGTACAATCGCGTGTATGTAGTAAATTATCTTAGCAACAAAAGGAGTATTTACAAAGATGTGGTATTAGAATCGTAAATTTTAGATAACAAATTTCACTAAGGGGGTTAGAAACTAAAAGGAGATTAAGTAAACAAGTTGAGTGACGCAATCTAGTAGTTGACAGGGTTGAGTAGAGGTCAACTAAAATTAAAACTGAACGACAGTCAAGTCAACAATAGTGGTAGGTAATAAGAGGTAGAGATTGAATAAGGGGTGGGGAAAAAAATATCATACAATCAGGAAACAAACAAGCAAGACAAAGATGAAACAAAATTACTTTATTTGGCGTCAAGATAGGTCAGGTGCACTGTAGATTTAATGACTTAATAAACTTCTTTTGTATGCAGAGTTCAAGTTTTTTTAACAAGTGAATTGCCATTGTTTCTGATGTATGAATAACTTTGATTCCTACTCTTTTATTAACATTCTCACATATTCTGTAGATGACCTCGAAGTTACTTTGTGAGTTTTGCTTCGTGTCCTGATACGATCAGGTGTTCCAGAATAGGGCTTCGGGAGGACCGTTTTAGTCTTTTATAAAACCACAAGGGTAAGTGTTCGATGATACGTTTGGATAGCAAACGGTGGGTACGGACGACATACCTAGCTCCCCACGAGCAGGTGAATTAGTAGATGCACATTGAAGAGGCAGTCAGCAGTGGTAGCTTATCCTTCATGTCCACGCGAATCATTGGTTACGTAGAAACGTTTAGTCGGAGTTCAGCTGCGAAGAAGATTTTCTTCAATGAGCTGGACAGGCTGATTTCTCAGAATTTCCGCCGATGAGTCTCCATTCAGGTAGAGAAGTTCTTCGGAAGCAGGAAGTGTGGTCAGCTTTAATTTTTTTCCTTCACGTTCCCAGTGGAACATAGGGCTCCAAGCTAGTGGCTTGAAGTTTCTGTAGCAGTGTTTAATTTTTACAGGATGGTGTTGCTAGCCTCATGCCCAACCTTTCCTCTTTACCAGCATTATTTCTGGCTCAGTAAGGTAAAGGAGTGCGCCGGCCGGGGATCGAACCCGGACCATATGCATGGTCGGCGAGCGTGCTAACCGCTATACCACCGACGCTTTACTTCCATATATTTTGTGATGAAACGTTCTGAGTACCCATCCTATCCGAGTCCAAATTCACAAAACCGGTTAATGAAAAGAACATGACGTAGCAAACTGAACAAAAACTAACAGATATTCTCCAGAAACTAAAAACTGAGTCATTCATCGACGCTGAGACCTTCAAATCGCGGAGGCTGTCTGGCTCAAATACAGCCCAACACTATGGATTACCAAAAGTGCACAAGAAAGATATACCTCTTCCATCCATTCTTAATATGATTAATTCACCGCACTGCCTAATGACTAGTAGACCTACAGGAATTGTTAAGAAAATTTGCAGTATATGCGCGATTGTACAGCTTAAGAATGATATCGCCGAAAAGAAAAACTCTTCGCTGAAATTCAGTGAAAACAGTCAAAACTAGAATAGCCGATCAGATCGCAGCTGTCAGTTTAGGTGTCTAGGAATATTTTACCCTGAAATGTGGTACCCCATATCTGTCTACTGATAAGAGTGACTTTACAGAACGTCGACATTATTACATACATTGATTTAGAAGACAGACGATACATTCTTGTTAACAAAATGTAGACGAATTGGTAGAAGTTAGAATTCACGAGCCTTTGAATTGGGTTCCAGTGGCTGAATGGTATACGAGCTTGCCTTGTGACCGTAAGGTCCTGGGTTCGAATCCCAGTGGGTGCGTGCTGACGATGATTCCCAAACTAGGATGAAACAGCAGCTGTCCAGTACTCCCTGGTTTTCAATGGTTCTCTGACTGATATCAACCCGTGATCAACTCGTAAAAAAATGTATACGGTTAGAAATGACACTTAATTTGAGAATGTTTCACTTGCATTTCACTCACCTATCTTCACCAATCCTAAGACTGGAATGAGGGGACTATTAGCTGAGGTAAGATGTCTTTAGTAAGAATGTAAGATCATGACTAGCGGTTTGTTCCAGTCATTTTCTTCGAACACAAATACACAGATTTACAGAAGATGTGTAGATGAAAGAGAAACACCGACTGGTTGATTTCAACATAGAACTTTGGCACAGATGTGCAGTAGTTCGAGCTATCACACCCCAAGTAGCACACAAAGGAAGACAACAGAAAAAGCATTGATTTCGAAGAACGGTAATAAACCTAAATATATGGAAGAAAGGATATTAACATTGATTAGCAACAGGATTTAGTGGGTAAGGCAGATCATAAAGTATGAATGTATCTAAGGCAATGCGAACAATTTTGAACCATATCACCACTTGTCTCCAGTCACCATTGGTCTTTAGTATCCTAAGCACACTAACCGGATAGCCTACAGCCCCCTAGTAACTCGAACTAACAATCAAAGATCTCATGGACTGATGTCATGCTTCCGTTGAACCACCATTAGCTCTTTTCAAAACATGATCCATTCTATGTCAGTCAGCAAACATTTCCCGTCGTCGAGGAAGGTGATCGACGGTGAGGCATGCATAACACATATCTTCTAATCATCTCAATCGATGCATCTTCACAACTTAATCGATTGGTTTCCCCTTCCTTACCTAACTAACATTCAATGCCTAACCTCAATGTTATTCACCTTATTATACTACTTAAGATGGGAAATAGAACGTAGACACCTAAGAACAAAAGCAGCTAACTAGCCTTATCATATCTATCTGTCTGTTTTCGACATAGAACTCTGCACGTATGTGCGGAAGTTCAAGTCGCCACACTCCCTTAATGTACCACAAAAAGCAAGAGAAGAAAGTACAAGAAAAGCATATTAGAGACAGTAAGCAGAGGTGTGAGACAAAGAAAGAGTATTAACGAAGAACAAAACAGTTTCATTGGAAATCATAAGTTACAAGGAGTGGATGCATCTGCGCCACTGAGAATGATTTTGAGCCATATCACTAATTGTTTCCAGCCATTGTTTTTTACCGTCCCGAGGACACCAACCAGTCAGTCAGGAAGTCTACACCTTCCTACGTCACTGGCTTACACTAACTGTTGTGGATTTCATTCACTGGCGTCCTGTTTGGTTTGACCGCCACTAGCTCTTTTCCAGTCTGACCCTATATCAGCTAACATAGTCCGTTGTCGAGGAAGGCGATGACTAGGCCACACATGTGTAGCACATGTCCTAACCATCTCAGTCGATGTAATTTCACAGCCTCGTCGATTGATTTCCCATCCCACCTACATATCACTCGACCGAAGCCTAATCGGAATATTGCTCACCTTATTATACCACTTCACACAAGATATAGAGCGCGGGGATCTATGATCAAAGACAGCTAGCCAAGCTTTTCATGTAATCCAATCTCAGTGGCCAGGTCTAACAGCCATAGAGGAGGGCGAAGCGGACTGATGAGCATTGCACTCGCCTTTTGTTCGATTGCCGGATATCACATCTACGCCAGAGACGGCGTAAACTGGCATATGCGAAACGAGCCCCCTGTATTCGTGCTCAGATTTCGTCAGAGATCAACCCATTGGCACTGGCTGATACAACTTCCCAAATAAGTGAAGTGGTGAACACGCTCCACAAACAACTTCACTCCCTATTTCTAATCTAAGAGTCATTGTAGTGCAGTCCTGTAACATCATCTTGCATTTGGCTGGAGCGAATCGCATGCCAAACATTCGTAGACTGCGGTTCAAGGTGTTCAAAAAACTCTGCATTTCGTTAGCGTCTTCGCCTAGAAGGACTATATCGTCTGCATATTCTAAGTCAACGAGATTATTCCCTGGTAGCAAGTCAATCCCTGAGTCGCTGAAGTCACTTGGGGTTGAGTCCATTAACACATCTATGATGAAGTTGAATAGAAAAGGGGATAATGGGCATCCTTGACGGACACCACTGGTCGTCACCAGTTCAGATGACAGCTCGCCGTAAGCCCTCACCTGGCTGTATGAGTACGAGTAGAGTGCATTAATCAGTGCAATGTATTTTCTTGGAATTCCCTTTACAGCCAAGCATCTCCAGAGAACTTCCCGATCGACAGAGTCGAATGCCACCTTTAGGTCAAGGAATATAGTGATTGTTGGACCCGACCGAAAGCTGCTACCTTGACGTGGTGGTCGGGCTTCAACGCCGCAATGACCTGATCAAGCTGGCTGAGACTTATGTCTCTTGAGGTCGTACCATGCCAGAAAGGTTGTTTGTATAGCGGTTAAACAAAAAGCAGTTACCCAATCCAACACTTTCATATCTGCCACCTCCACTGACCGTGCCTCATAGCTATAAAGAACAACAGAGCGAACTGCTGCACAGGAGACAACGTAAGTTGGCACAAAAATGCAAAAAGCAAATAAGTAAATCTGCACAGACAAATAGGCACACATACACATCTACGCCTTTACACAATGTCATTTTCACGTATATCTGAGAAATATGTCGTCAATTCGTGACAAAAAAAAACAAAACAAAAGTTAAATGAAGTAGTTATATCTTTATATTCACAATTAACACAAAGAAGAATCTTTATGTTAATGCAGATTTATTGTCATATATGTATTTGTGTAAATAATAATAATAATAATAATAATAAATAGGGGGGGGGGGTTAATAAGTGTTGATAGATAGATATACACGGTTTATGTATACATATATGTGTGTATAGATATCCAAATGTCGATGGACATCATCAACATCATTGTCGTCATTATCAAGGACATTGAAAGAAACTACAAAAGTCAAAAGAATAGGAACCAATAAGCAGACAAAAAAATACTGAGTAGAGAGCACAAAAGAGAAGAAAACAAAAAAAGTATATATATGCAATAGTATATACTACAATATCCGTGTAAAAAATAAGGCAATGATCATAATAATGATAATAAATAGTAGTAATAGTCATAGCAGTCATATGGATTCACAATTATTAGTCACAATATTAGTAATAATAACAATATTAATAATAATATTAGGTATACAATATTACTTTTATTTCACAATAGCTATTTCATATAACTGTTATTATAATGTACAAATTATTGGCGACCAAAAAGGAGTGGACACACAGTGTGTCAGTAAAGAAAATAAGTAGGGATTACAACAGACTGTCAGTGAAATGTAGTATAATCAACACTGGTGGTACACACACGCCCACATACACAAACACACTCAGGAACAAAGATTTAGAGACTAGATAGTTCCCCCCCCCCACACACACACACTCGAATCAGTAAAGATACAAATAGGAAACTTGGTTACCGTGTTCATATAGTGTATAGCAAACGCACAACAAAACAAGTGGGAGGAGATGAAAGAGGGCGAAGAGGAGAATATGTCACACACACGGGCACGCACGCACTGACGCAAAAACACACACGCATACACACATCCACAGTATGTTTGCACACACACACGAAAGATGCGCTGTGGTGTATATGTCAGTAGAAGGAGAGAATATGTATATGTACGTAAGAAAAGTAAGAATCATATTTACACTGGCTAAGAAAGACAAAGTACAGAGGAAAGTTTGGCAGAGAGTGTAGAGGTATGCACACAACTGTGAATCAAAGCACAACAACAACAATGATAGGAAGAGAATACAGTGAGTGGCACAGTGAAACACTAAATATATATATATATATATTATATGTATTAAATTAAATAAAAAAGTTTAAGGCAAAAAATTTACAAAGAAAATTGTTTCCCAAAAGGCAAAAATTTACCCGTTTTCATTTAGATAGAAGCGGGGGAAGGGGGGATTTGGAGTGTAGATGTGATAATGTACAGCCCCTTGAGGATTTAGATTAATAATTGAGATCAATGCAAAAATAAATATCAGTCATGTTGGTCAAAGGTCAAAAGAAAATGACAATAAATTTGTTGGGATAAATCAATTAACAAAACTACATGTCTGCAAGGTGGGGAGGAAGAAGAGACAAAATTGGGGGGGGGGCTTCAGACAGACAGGAGGGATAGTTACAGTATTCTATACAATAACACCGTCATAATTAATTACTAATCACTTGTTATTATTTAAACAACAACAACGATAGCGACGTGAATCAACAGATAGTTCTTAAATCAAATGAACACTGATTATATTGCCAATAGGAATACACTTCCTCCATTATACAACCATTCCAGGAGGATAGATAGATAGATGGGTAGATATTTGGTGTAAGTTTATGTACAGGGGAACATGCCATGGGATATGGATTAAGTGTAGACACAGTCATTAGCCCAGACTATTTTGACACACTATAGATCATGTAGTGGTGAAGTGTGATTGTAGAAGGAGGGAGTTGGCGACCAACACGCACACACACACACATACACTGGTAGAGAGAGAGTGGTTACTGCGTGATGACGTGTCATGAAAGTGAAAGGAAAAAAATACTAATAATAAAAACAAATGCAATCCAATAATATCTGACAAGTTAGAAAAATTAAAGATCAGTAGAAAAAATAGTATCAATATAATTACAACGACTGCCTATGTATAATATGTGTATATGTATGTATGCTCAGCTCAGGAGAGATTTGAAGCTTGATTCCATAGACTGAAGGACTAGAATAACATATTGAAGGGATAATAATACTAGTTGTTTCAGCGTTGTTGTTGTTGGACTCCCGCGTGAATATTATTCTGCTGTTGCAATGCTTGCTGATGAGCCGCTTGTTGTTGTTGTTGCTGTTGCTGCTGTTGATGGTGATAGGCAGCTGCAGCCATCAGACCAGCCTGTTGTTGATATTGTTGTTGTTGTAGAGTCATTGCCCCGACAGTCGCCGACCCTCCTCTTGAGATGACAGTAGTATTCTGATTATTAGCTCCAGCGTTAGCTGCTGCTGCTGCCGCCGCTGCAAGCATAAAACCGGGATGCTGTTGTTGTTGTTGCTGCTGCTGTTGTTGTTGTTGGTACAAAGCTGCAGCGGCAGCGGCATTTGTGAATGCTGCTAACTGGTAATTACTGACTGCTGCTGCCGCTGCGGCTGCAGTACTGCCCTCTTGTTGTCCCATTAAAAACTGCGCTGATTGTTGGACACGAGCGAGTTGTTCTTCCTGATTCGAATTTACAATTACAGAGGCTGATGCACCACCATTGATTAGTGTTCCAGTAGTGTTCGAGGATACTAATACTCCAGAATGAGGAGTGGCAATAGCTCCTTGAGAAACTCCTGCTGCTGCTGCAGCGGCGGCAGCTACAGCTGCTAATCTCTGCTGGTGTTGTTGATGTAATAATAATTGTTGTTGTTGCAGTTGCTGTTGTTGTTGTGCAGCATCCGATGGAGTATAACCAGCCACTACTTGTAGTTGAGTTGCAGCAGCTATTGCAGACGCATTCTGATTATTATTAACTGTATTCACATTACTCTGTTGACGTTGTTGTTGTTGTTGAACAGCAGCAGCGGCTGCAGCAGCTTGAGCTTGTGCAGCTGCAGCTATTGCAAAACTAGCAGGATCAGTGGATGACGCGAAGATTAAACCAGCTGTCATTCCATCTTGTGGATGACAAAAGAAAGTGGTTGGAGCACCGGTAACGCCCGTTTGATTGGCTGCGGGAAACAGAAAGCTATGTGCCGCTTGTTGATGTGCTGCCAATGCGACAGCATGTTGTTGTTGCTGCTGTTGTTGTTGTTGAAATTGTTGAGAAGCTTGATGGTGCAGTTGAAACTGTTGAGTCTGATTAGCAGGCGTTTGATTACAATTCCCCTGAGCTTGACCAGCAACTGTAACTAAATGTGTGCCAGCTGCAGCCACAGCTGCTGCATAATTAGCCTGCTGCTGTTGTAACAATTGTTGTTGATGTTGAACTACAGCTGCTTGCTGTTGTTGTTGTTGGAATTGTTGTAGTTGCTGTTGTTGGGCTGCTGTCGCATGAAATCCAACAACCTGAGGGAAAATAGCCTGACCAGTCTAAAAGATATAGATATATGTATATGAGAAAACGAAAAACACAACGTATATATGCACGTAAATTCATAAAAATATACTATTACTTGAGTAAAAGTATGACAAGTAATTTGATGAACAAAATACTATCGAAAAACAGTCCAATTTACGATTTCCCTTGACAAGACAAAAGAAAAGGAAATTTGTGTTTCATGATGAATATAATAGTTTCAAGTTTGAGGGTGGATTGACTTTAGTTCGAGAAACATTGAAAACCAGCACTCGAGTACTGGACAGGACGGACCATGAAACTGATATCGATCGGTGATCTAACTTTGTAAAAAAAATCAAATCCCTATAAACTTAAAATTGATCCAATGCTCGCTAGTAGTGACTGGCTACATGGCAAATTTGACTGGAGTTCGTTCTAGGCAGAGGTCATAACCAGTTGGGTCCACCAGGTCGGGAGAGAAGACTAGATTACTCGCCAACTATGACAATGGTTGGTGTCAGTCACGCTAAAATCACGAATTGGTAGAAGTTAGTATTCATGGTTTAACCATTCACAGCCGGGTCCCCTCCTCCCATTGGTTAAATGGTCTACTAGCCTTCCCTGTAACCAGAAGGCCCTGGGTTCGAACCCAGGGACTTCATAGTTCCGATGAGTACCAAACTAGGACCAAAATGTTGTCTAGCATTCCCTGGTCTTCAGCGATTCTCTGATTATTATCAATTCCTGATCAAACAAATCGTATCCCTACAAACTCTTGGAAATAGCTTATAACCCAAGAAGTTGAAGAAAACGAAAAAAGCTAAAGCTGGAAATTACGGGCTTATTTTTGACTACAGATATACTGCTAGGAGTATTGAAACACATTCCAGTGAACAATGCTGATGAGCACTACTGATCAGTTCACAAATCGCATGGGACTTAATCCATTTGCTTTGTATTCACCTAGTTAACATTTACCTTACTTCTCTCTCTCTCTCTCTCTCTCTCTCTCTCTCTATATATATATATATATATATATATATATATATATATATATACTGCGACGAATTCAGGCATTCCACTTATGGAGAATTTTAGACATCCCCTATTCAATATTGAAGTGAATTTGGTGATGAAGTTATCTAAAAGGTGGTAAAGACGTAGAGAACACACACACAAACACCAAAACACCCATCTGTACTACAAACCACTTATAGCACATCAAGAGAAAAGCTATTAATACACATCAGGGGATTATAGAAAAATAGGGAGGGGACAGCCGACAACTTACTAGAGCATGAGCTTGATTGGTGGCTTGGTTTGTAGCAGCTATGTGTGTCAATACCATCATTGGACCAGAAGGCGTAGCTACAGTCTTTAATTCAGGTTGAAAATGAATAGAAGTCTGTGATGGTTGAACAGATGCTCCAGGCTGTTGTTGTTGATGATGATTTTGTTGGATACCACCATTGGCTGATTGATTAGCTGCTATCGATTGAGCAAGAGCAGGCATAGCAGCCATAGCGAAAAATTGTTGTTGTTGTTGCTGCTGCTGTTGTTGTAATGAAATGGCTGACGGATGCATTGTTGCCATGGAAGCTACACTGACATTCGGTAACATGACAGTTGCTGCTGCTGCTGCCGCAGCCGCCGCTGCTTGCTGTTGTTGTTGTTGTTGTTGCTGTTGAACAAGATGATGATGAGCAGCTGCCGTCATTGTAGGAAACATTAAACCTGAGGCATTTGCAGCAAATATTGAATGAGCTGCTTGAGTTACACCTGCAGGCGACATTGTTACGGATAATGGGGTGAAATTAATTGTTGGTGCTGTTACTCCAGCAATTGAAACAACTGCTGAAATAGGCGTAAAAACAGTAGATCCACTACTGGTAAATGAAACAATTTGATTATTTATGTGGGTATCAGATTCAGGATCACTGGAATTCTGCTTACAAGTAATACTTTTACCATTGTGTGACGATCGATGCATCGGTGTAGAGTTGAAAGAATTTTCAACTGAAGAAATAATTTCAACATCACTATTATTGCCTGCATTATTAACTGAGGCTGGTTTTGTTCGCCTTTTGGGTAATCGTGGAGGAGCAGAACCTGAATGAATGGGATACATAGATAAAAATGAAAAAGGGCAAAAATATAAGATTGATGAACGTGAAAATCAACGTTCGAAAAAGAAAAAACACCGCTTATTCATAATAGAGAATAAGGCTGTGTGGTGTCTCACTAATTTAAGGAATCACAATATCATTAGTTTTGTATGATAACTAATTATTCATTGCTTTATCCCTTTTGTGTTCTGAGTGGGACATAGGATTTCCAGTCAGAGCTTTGAAGTTTTGGTAGCTGTGGTTTTATTTCTACAGGGTGGGCTTGCTAGCCTCACACTCAGCCTTCCATCTTTACAGGCCTTAACTACCGGCTTAGTGAGATTTAGGGTTGCGTCGAACGAGGATCGAACTCTGGGCCGCGTGTGGCGTGGTTGGCGGGCGTTCTACTGCCGAACCACCCACGTATAATTATTCCTCTGGCTTCAAATAGATACATGAGAGCTTAAATTTGATGATATGTCCATATATATGAATACAACAAACAGCTAAGAATGAGGGTTAACAGTGAAGTTATGGAAAAAAGGACATACACAACTCCATACCTCCCACCGGGATAATATTATGGATTAAATCACTAAGATTAATAATGAATTAATTAATTTAAGAGGACTATTTGTACACAAGACATAAATGTAGATCAGAGATCGTATATGTTGCCTGATCCGTGAGGCGAGATGGTATAGAAAGCAGTTTTGCGGTTACTTACTTACTTTACTTCGGCTATCTCCTACGGGAGGATGAGCCGGCTTCATGATTCATGAAGTTTCATGGGAATTAGGTGCGAGTGATGTCCCCAGCATCGCTCGGCCTTTTGTTTGAGAGTGCAGCTCTAGCCTTTACACAACCAAGTGTGACCTACAAGGCAGTAGGAGTGGAGTAGGGAGTCCACTATCCATTGGCAGTCGGTGACCGGAGTCCGGTTCATACGCCTTTTTGAATGGGGCCAGACATCCAGGGCATCCAATAAGCCCTTTGTCCATACGTCTACCGGTGAGCTCCGGTGAGCTTCATACGCCAGTCGTTGGAGGTTTGGAATCAGGGTTTAGCCATCTCCCCTAGACTGTCATCCAATGGACAGCAAACCCAGTGAAGAGCGCCGGGCATCCACTTTTGCCCTCTCACTTCGGTGAAAAACACCTCCATCACGTGAAGGCAGAGAGTAGGACTTCCTCAGGAGAGGCTATGTAAGACGCCCGGTCATATGGGGGCATCTCAAGAGGTGTACGGAGGGGTGGCCAACCCGCAGCGCAAGGCACCCACCCCCGACCATCCTGAGGCTTTGGAGGCTTTGTGGTTACGTGCAGGGTTCTACGAGATTTGTAGGCCTTATGAATGCGCCCTACCCTGACTATGTTTATGGGTCAGTGGTTTATTGATAGAATGTTCGCTCATCAATCCCACAGGAGATCCAGGTTTCACTCCATGACGACAGACGACGAACCCACAAACCCTCTCTGGTCAGTTAATAGTAGTAAGCCAAGAAAAGAAGGAAAATAATGCGCGTGAAGTTAGGACCCCTAGCGTGTACATGAGACACCAAGGCTACTGAAACTTTAGAGCTTAACGCCTGAAGTCCCATGGTTTATTCATAAAGCAGGGAATGAGAAAAGATTCAAGTTCTGATGGTTTAAAACCGAAAAATTACTAACTTCTCACCGTTTATTTGTTTGGAATAAATCTATTACAAAAAAACTTCAAGAAATAAATATTCTAATGATCCAGAACGTAGAACTCAGTGAGACGTTCGAAGTGAATACCCGAGTAACACAAAACTGGTTGCCTACTATCACCGACCGAAAGCTGCTACCTTGACGTGGTGGTCGGGCTTGAACAACGCAATGATCTATTCAAGCTATACTGGCTGAGACTTATGTCTCTTGAGGTCCTACCATGCCAGGCAGGTTGTTTGGATAGCGGTTAAACAAAAAGCAGCTACCCAATCCAATACCATGATTCAAACAAATTCACAAAATTTCATGCCGGATCGGCCGTGGCCCGGATTAACAACGACCGCGCTTCCTGCTGCCGTGTCACAGGGCAGGAGTGATAAGTATGCTACTGAGGCACACCAAACAAAAAGAACAAACAAAAACAGGCCGCGTGTGACCGGCCTCAAGCAGTTGTCCCCTGGGCTCTGCGGTCACGCAACCAACTTCCACGGTGTGGGCAGCCGGGAAGTAACAATCGCCCTCACAATCCGAAACGCACGCGAAACCTCTCTATTACTCACTCATCTTTGTTTTCATCTTCATCTCTATCATCTTGCCTTCCTTCCACTGATGCAACTCCTCGACTTGATAGCTCTCCACTTCCTCTCCACTCTGCGTCCACTAAAAACGATGGAAGCCAAAAAACCACCACCGACAGCCTCTTAAAGCCGCGCCACCAATTTCATATAGGAGCTCTTAATGTTAGGACACTTTGCCAAATAGGACAACAAGCATCACTAGCCAAGACCCTGGCATCACGAGCCATTGATGTATGTTGTGTTTCAGAAACACGCATACAAGACCCAAGTGTGGTTATTCACCTAACCCCACCTGGCCAACAGGTTGAATCTGCAAAATTCACCTTGAGGGTGTCAGGAGATGCCACAGCTAGTTCACGAGGATTAGCTGGCGTAGGGATAGCTTTGAGTACTAGGGCAGAAAAGACATTGCTTGACTGGATCCCGGTAGATAGCCGAATGTGTGCTGTCCGCCTGAACGGATCAGTAAGAAGGAGGAAGGACTGCACTACTCGCCGATGCCTTTTCGTAATCTCCGCCTACGCCCCCACTGACTGCAGTTCAGATGAAACGAAGGATGAGTTCTACCAAAAGCTGTCTAGTTTGGTGCGAAAGGCTAAACGCTCAGACATAGTCGTTCTAGCTGGTGACTTTAACGCTCAAGTAGGGAAATTGTGTCAATCTGAGAAGGATGTCGGTGGCACCTATGGAGTTCCGTGCCAGCGAACCGACAACGGTGACCGTCTCCTACAGTTCTGCTCTGATAATCATTTGTTTCTTGTAAGCACTAACTTCAAACACAAGGAGAGACACTGTTTGACTTGGAGACCCCCTTCATCAAACCAACGCTGGACACAAATAGACCACATAGCAATAAGCTATCGTTGGCGTGGGTCGGTAGGAGATTGTCGCTCCTTCTGGAACACGTGTGTAGATACCGTAGGACGTAGGAAACAGCTGGCGGTAAAACCATCACGTCCCCAACTCGATCAGGAAACTAAATCCGTATTTCAGGAAGAACTAGCTAAACACATATCTGTGTTCGACAGGTATGCTCACCCTGAAGAAGCCTGGAAGAATATCCAGGCGGCCATAGATACAGCTGTAAAAGCTGTGAATAAGTTAAACCCAAAGGTGAGTAAAAACCACTGGATCTCCGCCGCCTCATCCGAACTGATAGATGCTAGAAGACTTATTCTGGCGAGCTCCGAATTCAATGAGGAGCGAAAGCTGCACAAGAGGAAACTTACGAAAAGTCTCCGCAAGGACCGTGAACAGTGGTGGGTGACAAAAGCTAAAGAGATGGAGAAAGCTTCGAGGATAGGCAACACCAGGCAACTATTTAGACTCATCAGGGAAACGGGTGGGAGAAGACAAATCATTAGCGAAACAATCTCGGAAAAAAATGGCACTATAGTTAGCTCCCAGGATAGACCACTGGATCGTTGGAAAGAGCATTATGAGGAGCAGTTTAGTTGGCCCACAGCCACGCTCAACCTTCCGAGCATCCAACACCTCCCTGAATGGGATATAGACACAGGTCCTCCATCCCTAACTGAGGTTACTAAAGCTGTCATCAATCTGAAACTAGGCAAAGCAGCGGGACCTGATGGAATCACTCCAGAGGTATTTAAGTACGGTGGAGACAGCTTACTGTCTGGATTAACTGAGGTACTAGGCAGAGTCTGGGAATCAGAAGTCCCATCGGGTTGGTGTAAGTCACTGATTATCCCCATTTACAAGAAGGGAGACAAGTCTTCCTGTGATAATCACAGAGGGATTAGCTTGACTAATATAGTATCTAAAGCCCTAGGCTCAATAATCATGCGTAGACTAAGTGGTGCTCGGGAGGCACAAACACGAGAGAGCCAGGCAGGCTTTAGACCAGGAAGAGGGTGTGCGTCGGTGGCACAGTGGTTAGGACTCGCGCCGACCATGCACATGGTCCGAGGTTCGATTTCCTGCCGACGCACACCTGATATCTATGGTGGGCCTGCAAAATTTGGGCTACCGATATCCATGCTGAAAATTCCATACTAGTACCAAAAAAATACAGTGTGGAATTAAGCTGTAATCAAAAATAAAAAAAATAAATAATATTGATCATATCTTCACCCTCCGACAGATTCTAGAACATAGGCATTCCTACCGGCGTCCAACAGTCATTATATTTCTTCACCTAAAGGCAGCATTCAACTCTGTCGATCGAGAAGTTCTCTGGAGGTGCTTGGCTGTAAAAGGAATTCCAAGAAAATACATTGCACTGATTAATGCACTCTACTCGTACTCATACAGCCAGGTGAGGGCTTACGGCGAGCTGTCATCTGAACTGGTGACGACCAGTGGTGTCCGTCAAGGATGCCCATTATCCCCTTTTCTATTCAACTTCATCATAGATGTGTTAATGGACTCAACCCTAAGTGACTCCAGCGACTCAGGGATTGACTTGCTACCAGGGAATAATCTCGTTGACTTGGAATATGCAGACGATATAGTCCTTCTAGGCGAAGACGCTGACGAAATGCAGAGTCTTCTGAACACCTTGAGCCGCAATCTACGAATGTTTGGCATGCGATTCGCTCCTGCTGTCACATGCAAGATGATGTTACAGGACTGGACTACATCGACGCCTAGTTTAAAAATAGGAAGTGAAGTGGTAGAGCACGTTGACCGCTTCACTTATTTGGGAAGTACCATCAGCTAGTGCCAACGGGTTGATCTCTGACGAAATCTCAGCACGGATACAAGGGGCTCGTTTCTCATTTGCCAGTTTACGCCGACTCTGGCGTAGACGAGATGTTCGACTGTACTGCTCAACAGTTCACTCCGTCCTCCTTTATGGTTGTGACACCTGGCCACTGAGAATGGAAGACATGAAAAGATTAGCTGTCGCTGATCATAGGTGCCTGCGTTCTATTTCCCGTGTAAAGTGGCATAATAAGGTGAGCAACATTGAAGTTAGGCTTCGGTCGAGTTCTAGGTAAACAGGGGAAATCAATCGACGAAGTCGTGAAGTTACAAAGACTGAGATGGTTAGGACATGTGTTACGTATGCCAAGTCATCGCCTCCCTCGACGAGCAATGTTAGCGGATGTAGGGTCAGGCTGGAAAAAAGCTAGCGGCGGTCAAACAAAAACATGGCACCAGTCAATGAAATCCACAACAGTTGGTCTAAGCCACGTAGGAAGATGTAGACTTCCAGGCTGGGGTCCTCGGGACGGTAAAAATCTATGGTTGGAAACAATTGGTGACATGGCTCAAAACCGTTCTCAGTGGCGCAGATGCATCCACTTCTTGTGACTTATGATCTCCAATGAAACTGTTTTGTTCTTCGTTATTACTCCTCCTTTGTCTCATACCTCTGCTTCCGCACATTTGTGCAAAGTTCTATGTCGGAAACAGACAGACAGACAGATTGACGGAGATATTCCTAATTGTGGTCGACTAGATTATGTGTCAGACTGTGGATGAAGAGCGAGAACTCAGGAATACGTTGCACCGATAAGAAGACTAGAGAAGGTTTACATTTCGCACGTGCATGATCTATGTCACAACAATTTCATACAAACTCAAAGACCTATACACGAAAACCGACAAGTTGGCAGAAGAAACAAACAGCAAAGACAGGATTCCACGTGGTGAATAGAGAGAAGACGCAGGCGATGAAAATAAACAACTAACCACCACCATCACAACAACAACAACAGCAAGCAACAATCACTATCGACGAAATAAATTTGAAGCAGGTTACTTCCTGCCTTCATTCATCTCGTTAGGAAGCACCAGCAGTCGACAGCGATGAAGATGTCAAAATCAGAATCAGAAAGGCGACGCACACCTCACCCACTCTGAAACCAATGTAGAAATCTTTTGAATTTAGCCAGTATACACATTAAAACTCGGATTCCCAACACCAATGTTAAGTGAGTCTGTCTGTCTCTGTCTGTTTTCGACATAGAACTTTGCACAAATGTGCGGAAGTTCAAGTCGCCACACTCCGTGTAGCACGCGAAGCAAGAGAAGAAAGTACAAGAAAAGCATAATAGAAACAGTGAGCAGAGGTGTGAGACAAAGGAGGAGTAATAACGAAGAACAAAACAGTTTCATTGGAGATCATAAGTCAGTCAGATCTTCTTCTATATGGGTTGGAAACTTGCACTGAGCGTCAAGAAAAGCATTTGTAACAGATCACTGTTGACTTTTATCAACAGCTGCCTGATTCGCTGGCTCTATATTGGAGATAAAACGGCTGGTCAACAACAATAAACTCTGGCAATGTACGAAACAACAGGCGAGAACCTACTGCTCAACAAATATGCGGAAGAAATAGAGATGAATAGGACACATGTAATTGAAGAGACTGTCGAATGACATCACGCTCAGTAGGCCATCGCTCAAGTAAAACCCAAATGAAAAATGACGTGTAGGACATGTGAGAGTGGCACGGAGATCTTGCAAGGCGGGAATGAGGCACTAAGAACAATCGTGGGGCCACCTAAGGTGGTGTACTGTTGAAGCCTTATGTTCCAATCGGAATCCAAGGGGACATTAATAAAAAAAAAATAATATTATTAATCATTAATGTAACAAGGATATCTAGTTGTCACTTCCAACTTCGAACTTTAATGAAGGAGGGTAGAGGGGAACTGAATTTATCACACACGAACAAAATATCAGAGAAAACCAGTGAAATGCATACAAACAACAACGGTAAAAACAATAATAACAGGACCTACCTGGTGCTTTACGTTTAATCGTCATGTTTATACCGACTCCTGGCTCACCTTGATGTACTCCACGAATATGCCTATTGAGGTCAGATTTTTGTACAAATGGTTGTTGACATTGTTGACATTCGAAATTTCTGGCGGCACGATCATGATGTTTTAAATGATCTTTAAGTTTGTCTCTGTCAAATGAAATAATGTTAAGAAATAATTAAACACTAGTGGACATGTGAAAAATAAGTTTAAATAAATAAGTTGGAATAACTTGGTAGTATAATTTCATTACAGAGAATGTCATAAAAGCACCTCCAGTGACAAAAGAGATACCCTGAGTCAACAGTCTGCAGACCGATAATCTCTCTATAGCGCTGTGAGACATGGCCATTGAAAGTAGAAGAAATGACGAAAAGGCTAGATGTTAGGTAAGAAGGGAAAATCAATCGATGAAGTTGTGTAGGTACATCTATTAAGATGCATGCCTAGCCATCGATCGCCTTCCTCGACGACAGGCAATGTTAGCTAGTGGTGGTCAAACCAAAACATGAAATCAGTCCATGAAATCCTTAACAGTTAGGTTGAGCCACGTGATGAGGTGTAGACCACCTGATGATTGGAGTTCTCACGATGGTAAGAACCAATGGCAGTTGGTGGGAAGTCGTGGTATTGAAACAGTCGAAGATGAAGACTTGGTAAATGACTGTTTATTTGGAAATCAGTATCTCTATATAGCCAAATTATGTATACCTTATCTTCAACGTTCCATTTACACACTGATCTTCGTGTTGTGATACTTCTGAACTTTATGTGTTTCTTTGTGTTCCTTTCACGTCGTCTCCCATGTATCTCCACAACGCTCTATTATTTGCCTTCTCTGAAATCAAATGTATCTGACTGCTGCTTGATGTTTTTATGCCTATGAATACCTCTTTATATACTACTGATAAATCTTACCAGTAGCACTCGCCGCAGTGTGGCTGAAAATCGTTCTCAGTGGCTCAGATACAGCCACTCACCCTGTCGCCTACCATATCCAAAAACACCCTATTGCTTCTCTATATAACCATTCTTTTTTCTTCACATTTCTGTGTATTATCGTTCCTTTGAGTCTCTTTTGTCTTTCTTTAAGTGCTACCATGGAGTGTAACAACTTGAAACGCTGCACTTTTGTGCAAAGTTCTATGTCAAAACTAGCCAGTCAGTCTCTACAGCGCTAGAAGGGGTATGACCAACCAACTAAAGCTGGTGATGAATAGAAGCAGCGACTTCGTACCGCCGTACCGTCTTTACTGCAAACATATAAACACACAAGCGATTTCAACCGGAATTTCTTATGAACAACACGCATCTTAATCTCAAAAGCTGATGTCAGTATACAGTTGAAAACATTCTTTGATAATAGAATATAACCAGCAGAAAACCAAGAACATCCGATGATTCGTCCCCACTAAGAATGTCACTCACTCACTCACTCACTGACTAAAAATTATGTTAACCGAGAATAACAGTATAAATCTATACAGCACAGTATACACTCCTGGCAACAGATTACAGAGAAAAACACAATGCTGAAATTAAAAAGAGCTAAATACGAATCGCAATCACGACAGTGATCAATGTGTTTTTCAGAACAAACACACTCACATACACACATACACACACAAGACATATCAGTAAAATACAGACAACATTTTAGACGAAATTTAAGGCCTCTCAACTACTAATGACTTCATCAAATGACACACAATACGATTGAACAATAGATTTTACTTTTCACAGTAAACATAAACTTGCTAATTAAGAAATTACTTATTTAGCTGAATGTACACCTTACATAACAAGTTTATTCTCGTATTTTTTTGTAAAACTTAGACGAAAAGAATATTAACCAGACCAGGATTTTCACCATACGTATATATATGTATATATACACGGGCTAGTCTGCGCCATTTACAATTAACTTCATTCTTATTTAAGCAATACTGAATACAGTAAACTCAGCGATGAATGTGGGTGTTATCAGTGGATGTGTTGAGATGAAACAACGAAAAGAAAAAAAATGAAATACCCATCAGAGAAACAACATCATTACGACAGTTAACATTATATGTTGTATGTCTGCCTGTCTGTCTGCTTTCGACATAGACCTTTGCACAGATGTGCAGCAGTTCAAGTCGCCACATTCCTTGTAGCACACAAAACGAGAGAAGAAAGTAGAAGAAATGCATAATAGAGACAGTGGGCAAGGATATTAGACAAAGGAATAGTAATCACGAAGAAGGTTCTCAATGAGTACCTGAAGTATGACGCTAAGCTCAATGAAACAAAGGCTACATTGGACTTCATTAACAATTGCATCGAGTCAAATCACTATCCTAAAGTGTATTATATGCACTAAAAAAAGAGTACTCTATGTTCAGTATCTATTTTGAAAATTATAAGTCATAAGGAGTGGGTGCATCTGCGCCATTGAGAACAATTTTGAACCATATCACCGACTGTTTCCAGCCATTGGTTTTTACCGTCCCGAGGACCCCAAGCAGTTAGGAAGTCTACACCTTCCTACGTGGCCTAAACTAACATTATATGCTGAAGCGTGTTTCCCGACCTGCTGTATTTGTCAACCATCAATTACCAATTGCGTATGATTGAGACGAACTACCGATAGTGAAAGTGTCTGGGCTGTCCATACCGTGGATGTTAATTTCTTCTTGCAATATCTCAAACAGAAACGGCATTAGTGCGATGTCATCGAAGACTCCACAGGGGATAACTGGTTGAGGTCGGTCACAACCTACTTGAAGTAGCTTTTGGAGTGGTGTCTGTCTTACTGCTGACTGCAGACAACAGAAAATTAGGTCGGGATGTACAACTTTTGGGGTCTAGCATAGCTGGTTTTTTGATCGTCAGAGGGAAACATGCACCTTACAGCTATTACACCTATATATATATATATATCAGTAGCACATCGCTTGGAGACCCCTAACATAAGCTGAAAGACTTACATACACTATGGTGGTGACAAGTTTGACTCTAATCGCTATCCAGGATCCCATAAACAACTTGGAACGGCCGAGGGTGGGCAGACTTCAGTCTTCAATCCGAAATGCTCTCATGTAAGCGCGCCTTCATAGGCTGTGCCGCATAAGTCATATTCTCACTGCCTTCACGAGACGGAGTGTTCTCCCAAAAAGTGACAGGAAGAATGTGGACATCTGGTGTCTACAACCAGGCTAGTGAACACACAAGAGGGGCTAAAACACCCCGATTCCAAACCTATGATGAACATTAGCTACAGAGTCTAAAAGGACCAAATGGTGCATGAATCTGTTTTAGTTACATGTGGTGACCATGGAGACGTAACTCATGGCGTTACTTCACAACTTCGTGAATTAGAATTCATGTCAAAGGCTCCAGGAGTGACCCGTTAAAACAACTATCTGCTTCGATCTAAGCATCAAGGCAGTAACCCAACCCTTGCTAAAGCCATGGGATTCTGCGTGGCGCATTTCTTGGTTACCATAATGTGCCAAGTTTGTATTTTTTTTTTAAAAATAAATATAACTGCTATCCAAACGACCTTTCTGGGATTGTAGGACCTGCAGGGACATTTGATCCTGTCTGAGTAGCTCGTTAGGACACTGCAACATGCAAGCCCAATAACTACATCAAGGTGGCACCTACTGGTCGTGACAACTAACCTACAAGTCGTGGGGAAGTGCTGAAGTCAGGTGTGGAAATTCTAAGTGAAGGAAGTCAGTTACACATGAATTATGAGTGGTAAAACTTGAAATCCAGTTAGCATTTACGTGTATCACAAAACAATGAAGCAGATACTAAAAGAATATCACTGACTAGAATTCATTTCTTACACGGATTTTCTTTTAATTTCATGAAACATTCTAGCAATCAACAGATTAGTCACACCAGGTTAATTAGTAATCAGAAATTAATTCAGTCAGAAATTGATTTACTCGACAAATTATCAAATAAGGAAAAATAATGAAATATAGAAGACAATGACTTACTTGCGTGAAAAAGCTTTACTGCATATATGACAAACATGCGGTTTCTCAGCCGTATGAATAGACATCACATGACGCTTAAGTTTATCCTCACGCACAAAACTACGGCCACAAGTGTCACACATATGCCGTGGTTCTTCATGCATAACTCGATGCTTGAGTAGCAAAGCTTTTTGCGGAAACACTTTATGACATATTAAGCATAAGAAATCACCTTTCACATCATTTTTATTCCAGTGGTTGGAAGTTAGATTTGATAGACTTTTGGAAAGACGATCGTCTAGGCCAACTTCACCACCATCTGAAGATTCATTGATAGTCAGTGTTTGATGAAAACTGGCACGGTCCTCATGACTACCAGAAGACAAAGTAACCACATGATCCTATTTCGGTGAAAATAATTCAAAACAAATACTTAGTATAGCTTATGAGATCAAAAAAAAATGGACTTCATGAAAACTTAGAGCTGAGGCACATGACATAAGTGACACAAATAAATAGATTAAAAGTGTTGTTAATAGTGAGATATAAATTTCAAACCATTTCGTGTAAGGGTACTAAAAGTGAGACTAGTATAGGAATTTCTTCAGCTTCTCTCTTGTAAACTGTAACAAGATGCTTGAATTCCGAAATTGTACACAGTTGATAAATTGAATGTACACAACTGATACAGCCGGTGCAAGATATGGATACAGACTTCGTTGACTATCCAGAATATCCAAAATCAAGACGATCATAGATACACCTGAGAAGATCAAAATCACCGTTTCGCATTTGTTTAAGGTGATAATACATACGTTTAGAATTCGAGCAAAATAGCACACCTAAACTTTCAGTTCAGTACGATAATTGATGGCGGTGAATTTATGTGAATGCTTTTCTACTACTAATGCCCTAACCTTAGTGGTTAGTAAGTTTTTAAAATCAGTGAGATTCTTCACATTAAACAATGTTGATGAACTTCACAACCATACCAGAACGTGTATAATGGTAGAGAAAAGCAATGCGCAGGTTAAGCGTGTTCACGAATGCTAGTTTGGGTCTAGTGTGTTACTTCTGAGAGGCTACTTAGAACTTTTAGTGACATATGTTCTCAACAGTGAAATTACAAGATAAGAAGCATGGTGCTTATTATTCTTCAAAACGTGAAAATAATATGCCATAGTTCAAGTTAACATTCAGAAAAAAAGTTGTGAAAACATTAATATCAGATATGTAAGAGTTTTAAAATAAGTCGTACTATCTTGACTCAGTTCTGTTTAATTTCATCATATATGTACTAATGGACTTAACTCTAACTGATTTCAGCGACCCAAGGATTCAGTTGTCACCACCAGGGTGTAATCTCGTTGACTTCCAGTGCTGTGGTCAGCCAATATTATAGGTGAGTACGTGTTCTCACTCCCGACTAAGCGAATCAAACTGATCTCAACTTCTCAGTAGGACAACATAGGTCACTTCATCCTATGGTCAGTGTGTCTGTCTGTCTGTTTTCGACATAGAACTTTGCACAAATGTGCGGAAGCAGAGGTATGAGACAAAGGAGGAGTAATAACGAAGAACAAAACAGTTTCATTGGAGATCATAAGTCACAAGAAGTGGATGCATCTGCGCCACTGAGAACGGTTTTGAGCCATGTCACCAATTGTTTCCAACCATAGATTTTTACCGTCCCGAGGACCCCAGCCTGGAAGTCTACATCTTCCTACGTGGCTTAGACCAACTGTTGTGGATTTCATTGACTGGTGCCATGTTTTTGTTTGACCGCCGCTAGCTTTTTTCCAGCCTGACCCTACATCCGCTAACATTGCTCGTCGAGGGAGGCGATGACTTGGCATACGTAACACATGTCCTAACCATCTCAGTCTTTGTAACTTCACGACTTCGTCGATTGATTTCCCCTGTTTACCTAGAACTCGACCGAAGCCTAACTTCAATGTTGCTCACCTTATTATGCCACTTTACACGGGAAATAGAGCGCAGGCACCTATGATCAAAGACAGCTAGTCTTTGGTCAGTCGCTAGTACAAATTGGGTGACGTTGTCTGGAGTTCTAGTGAAAAGTCAGAACCAGTCGGGTGTGAGACAAAAAAAACTCGAATAACAATTAGCTGGTATGTAGCATATTCGCAGAAGTTATAACGAATAGGTCATTGAATTCGTTTCAGTGACCAAATGGTCAACGAACCCGTCTGACAGCTCGACCCACGGTAGGGTCGTGACTGAATGCTGATGAAGAGTCCCATACTAGAACAACACAGGTGCTCAGCACTCCCTGATTTTCAACACTTTCCTGGTTAATGTCACTTCGTGATTTAAACTGAAATGAATCAAATCCCTGAAAATCGATACTTAAAAAGTAAAAACGGCAGAGCTTGACAGTGAATACATCATTTCATTGGATTACAGTTAGTCGAAGGGAGGTCTTCAGTCAAGTACTCATTAAAAGCACACATATTTGAAACTTTGAAGAAACATATATTTCCACTTGGCGACTTGAACTTCCGCACATTTGTGCAAAGTTCTATGTCGAAAACAGATAGACAGACAGACTTCTTACTAACTACTTTTCTATCATTTATCGATATTCTGTTAAACTGTTGCGGTTTAAAGGATTGACGTTAATGCAGGGAAATTCGCGAGAATTTGAAACCTACTATTCATTCATTAGCACAAAGAAACCAAAATAGTTATCGGCGAGTATATGTCCTCACACACAACCTGCTGTACCCCACTGTTAACGACTTCTCAACAGAACCCAGGTAACTATCTACCTGAATAGGACCAGACGCTAGTGAGCATCAGACTGATATTCAAATGTTGGTTTGTAGGGATTTGATTGGTCACAGGATTACAACATCACGAGCCGATGACACTCTCTGGTGGTCCTGTTATACCGAGAAGTTGAAATTTATGAACTGACCACTGGATCGGGTCCCACCAGTGGATTAGTAGTCTTCGAGCTTGCCTTGTAACCAATAGGCCCTGAGTTCGAACCCTGTCGATGGGTACATGCTGATCAAGAGTCGCAAGCTAGGCTGACGTAACAGTTGGCAAGTACTGCCGGGTTTTCCAATATCCGCTTATGATGCAATCCTGTAACCAATCAAGTTCCTGCAAACTAACACTTGAACAAACTAGTCACTTAGCTGCAAGATGAAATAGAAAGAAAGCCTGGACTATTGCAAACAGCTTCCTTAAGTAATTTCAATTTCCTTAAGTTATTTCAATATTTTTGGTGGAAAAAAAAAGTAAATCTGTAGTGAATGAGATGATGCAGAATGAACACATTCGATTAAATTTACTAACAAAAAACAACAACTGATAATCAAACTCACTGAATTTGTGTTAAGTGTAAGAAAATTTGTTGTACTACACAAATGTGAACTGGAAACATTCATTTGTGAAGCACTACTCAAACCATTATGAACCGGAGCTAAACTCAAGCTGTATAAACGATCTGTTCCTGTTCCTTCTAAAGATGGATCAAGGGGTATAGAGGGATCAGGTTTACGGTTTCCAGCCAAAGCATAGACAACATCGTCCACAGCAGCAACAGCTGCAGCTGCATACTCTGCATCATTGTATACTTTTTCTTCATCTACTTCTTTAGAAGACTGAACAGAAGAATGTCTACTAGGCTGATGAGTATGCGTATCTTCTTCTAATTTATCATCATTTAAATCAAATATTAAATCTTCCTCGTCATCACTTATCTTGATTGGACTATTCACATCATTAGTTGGGGACTTAAGAATTACAGAACTATTCGCTATTGGTGAGCTTTCAGGCTGACACAATTCACCAGTAGTAACAGCCTGAACAAGAGGGGAATCAGATGCAATTGTTTTACATTCACTAGCACTGTCTTGAGACTCAGATGTATTTTTCAATGCTGATTGAGCAAAACGTTCTTTGTCTGGACTTTTGTCTACACATTCTAGCTTAACTGTAACTTCAGTAGACGTTATTAAAGAGGGTAATTGAGTTGTTGTTGCTGATGGTGGTGTTATTGGCTGACTACCATTTGTTGGTTCATGAGGTAATATCACAGTAGTGGTAGTTTCGTTTCCATCTGGGCCATCTGTATAAATTTCAGGGAAATCTGGTTCAGCTGGGCAAAGAGTAGATGTCTTAGGCGATTTTTTAATACTGCTGCCTCAGAAGAATGTACTTCATCTTGGTGAGAAATACAAGAGAGATCAATATTTACCACTGTGTCTACATGGAAATCACTGGAAGTCTTCAAGAAATACTCATCGTCAACCTCCGCCAATGATGCTGAATGCGAAGAAATAACTTGTTCTAGATCCATTAGATTTTCATCAGTAGCTTTAGAGACAGAATCAAAACCACTATCTAAGAGTTTACAAGTTTCTGCTGCCTGAATATTTGTTCCACAAGTGGGTGTATTTTTCCAGTTGTGCGAAATATTATCTGACACATTAGATATGCTCGTCGATGGGCAAGTGTTATATTGTTCTGATGCATTTCCTGGGCTTAAAACTTTTAATGTAACATGTTCGCTAACTGGCAAGCATGGAGGTACAGATACGCCACCAGATGTATTACATTCTGGGACTCCCTTGGATGGACTAATTGATGTACAAGGTGGTGGATGAATCGCATCTTTTAAGGTCATAAGATTTGTACCAAAAACTTGACTATCTTGATTTTGACAAGTTGTATAACTATCCGTATGCGAAGGAGGTGTATCCGGGGAAGGAAAATGAGAAAGTGATGAGAAGGAAGCATTTGAGCGTTCGTTATTAATGGGGTGCGATTCACAAGACAGATTGTGATGTATTAGTGTTGGTGTATGTATACCTCCTAGATGAGGGTTGTGTATAGGAGAATGAGATCGAAAAGTCAGAGGAGAACTGCATGGTGTAGGGACGTTTGACGATAGCAAATAACTTGAAGACACTGACTGTGTATTAGAAGTTGGCAGTAAAATTGTGAGAGGATCATCATTGTTTTCATAAGGTGTTCCTGTCAAACCGTGGCGCGAAACCAACATTGAAACACTATCTTCTGAATGAATAGTTGGAGTCTGAACACATACACCAACTGACATTGGCCTACAAGTGACAATATCTGTAACTCGACCGCTTCTTGCATCAGGAGGAGTGTTCAGCCCAGAGGATGAACGGACTGTTGGTGAGGATTGTGAAATCCTATTATCTGCAGCAGCGACAGCTGCTGCTGCTGCCAGGAGAGATCGAACATCTTCATCATCGTCGGCTATGGGTGACACGTCAGGTGACGGCTTAATGCACAAACCAAGATCATCAGTGAACCGCAGCAATCGATGGTCTGAAGAGTTCCCAGGAGCTATTGCAGTCAAGGAGAGTGGAGGATTTAAGTCAACAAGGACATCTGATGCATGATCTGAACAGACAATTCCTAAAGATGTAGGATGCGAGTATTTTGAAGCAGAATGAACAGATCCAATGTTGACATCGATGTGTACGGTACTTGGAACGCCACTGTCAGTGACTGAAATAGAGGTGGGTACCTGTGAACATTTTCAAAAAAATTTGAAACAGAAGAATCAGGTAACGAATGCAACATTTCAGATCACTCATGAAAACCACCAAATATAAAACGAAAAACTTACATTTCTATCTGTGCATATGCACATCAGAACGTTCGACTGGGGGAAATGCCTGAGGTTTTTATCACAGGCGTTCAAGTTTGACAGAACTAGCAAATATATCCAACAGTAGGTTGTCGTTATAAATATTCGGTATAGAGAATAACAACATTAACAAACTTACTAGGTACGTAACAGCTAGAGAAAGTTGTTTGTCGTATTTACTGGATAACCTCCAACGTAGTCAGCGTTGACACGACTGTGTCGGTATCTCATAATTAAAAGAGGTTCAGAGCTACATGCCTTTCTCTAGCCATAAACTCAAAAGTCGACTATTTATAATTCCAACTAGTTTTGTCGCACCTTAGAACTTGCCAGTGGATTAAATAAGAGCAGTGGTAAAATAAATTTGCCTTGAAAACTTTGTCCTATCAAAGATAATGATGTAAGAGGGTGAATTTTATATAAATCTAACATTTAATGATCCATCAAGCGTGAATAATTACGTGTATACAAATTTATGACACTGTTAGGAGTTTGATACATAAAATGTGATGAGTTATTAAATGCTAATTGGTGCTCAAAATAATAAAGCAGATCTCCGTAGGTCTGATAAGTCCATTTAAAAGACTTGGTATATTGGTAGATAATTTCACCGGACTTCAGTACACTTAAAAAGTAGCTGTTACTACCAAGACTAACAAAATACACCATTACGGTCACCCCCCCCCCCAATTCTTCATGAAGATACATGTGGGTTAGAAATAGTACCAGACAAAATAACTGAGTGCTTCACAGTTCTGAGATATGCAGTCAAAATGATTATTGACAACTCTAAAGACAGCGAATGCCTATCAATGGAGGTTATTTCAAACCAAACGTGTTGAATGAGTGCAACAAACATGATTGAAACATATATATATATATATACTACATGTTTTCTTATTGACATAAGTAGCTGTAAACGAATCATAGCAGCCAGTAATAATTGACACTTAAACCAAACCAAACTGAGATAACTTTGATACTGTTTAACTGTGTGAAAGCTTTACTGTTTCAAACTATTTATATTGTCAAAAAATGACTAATAAATCCACACTTCCTTCTAGTTTTCAACACTGTCGACAAGTTGAATAACTTATTTAAACCCACAGCGGAGTGCTGTGATGTTACGTACTAGCATTTCAAAGTGTTTCATCGATACAAAGATCTATAAATTGAACCTCTGGATGGAAATTTAATTTTAGCATACAAACAGACCATGGGAAAAGATGGAATAATGCCTTCCAGAAGCCGTGAGGGTTTTGTTTTGCATACTTTTACAATGGAACTACGAGATATTCCACGACCGATCAATTTTACTGCCAAGTTTTATACGTGATAGCAGGAGATCTACACTATTCCCGAACAAAACAATTTAAAGAGTAGTTGTAAGGGAAAGTTGAATTGTTGAAGAAACACAAACATTACACAATTGGTGGAAAGCAGACTAAAAACAGACGACAGTGGGCAAGTGCTAAGGCAAATTATCAATCTAATGAGATCGACAATTTCGTTACATTTTTCTTTGCCTTCTCCGTATTGCACAAATCCAAACAGTCATATTTTCAAAAGTTTATTTGTAGGGATTTGATTTGTTTCAAGTTTGATCACGGAGTGGTATCAATTGGACAACCATTCAGAAACAACACTGCACTACGAGAGAGCTGTTTCGTCCCTCCTTAGGACTCATCGGCAAAACCATCTACCAGGTTTCGAACCCAGTGGATGAGTACTGACGATGATCACAGATTCACTTTTGAATATATGACTACGTGCATTGCATTTCATTAACACAACTACAAACTCTGTATAATACGGCTAACAAGAATTTTGTCACAAAATGTTATACACCCCAGAAACCCAGGTCGAAACAGATATTTGTCTTTAGGGATCGATTCCTAAAAATTCTTGAATCCTTGTGTTGTGAACTTTGCTTATAATACGCATCTAGTCATATTCATATCTCTACCGCTATTAACACTCTTTTTTTCCTTTATATGTTTAAGCCATTCCGGCTTCATTGTAAAATGAATAAAGCCTAAATTCTTGGTTCATTCGTCTTTTCAAGATTCAAGCATCACTCATCGTTCTAAGACTCGATCACCTTCGTAACACCTAGCTTATAAAATTCGAACACCATAGAAGCACTCCTAGGAACTCAACAGAGACTTTCATTGCTGAATATGCCTGATACGGGAATATCACAGCCTAGAGTTTTGTACTTTTTTCCTAATAGAATAAGCAACTATTAAAAGGGTTCAGTAGATGTTATTTTTTTGTCAATCAATAACACACTCTAAATTATCAAACAGATGACGTGCTGGAACAAACGACTAACAAAATCATCAACTTTAAAACACACAACAGTTCCGCTTAAATATCACCCTCATGAAGTACATAGGTTTAAAGAATAATGACAATAGTACTGCATCTTATAGTCATGGTTTGATTAACGTAAGGATGAAATCATTCCTTAATCACTGTATTTAGCTGTGCAATGTCTTTCATCCTAACATTGATATGAACACATGAGATGTAGCTATCGAATTTACTGAGTATATCATTAAGGCCAATCTTTCAGTGTCTCGATTTTGAGTACACTACGGTTGAAGTAAGTAACAGGACTTGATAAGACTAATTGAAAGGTTACATGCTGCACTGTTAATAACATTTTACCCCAAGGACCCATTAAATGACTAAGTTGGATTTATATTTTAAGTCGCTAGAGGTGTAAACACTTCCATAAAGAACATACTTGAGGAATGCAACAATTCAATTTTTCGAATACAACAGCATAAAAATGTTAATTGAACATAACTATATGGACAATACAGCAGACAAATAGGCATATAGGGTAAAATCCCGATTAAAAAGTGTGAAGAGGGACAATGTACATCAGAACATCTCTAAGCAGTAAACAAACTGACTTAGAAATGCTGAGCAGTACACTTGTCCCTTCCTAGGAAACAGTTTACGAACTAAGCAATCAAAATGTGTCCAAAGATTTACACCTCGAACACGACAGAGTTGAAGATGGGTTTTGACGACGATCACGGTCAATGTTCAGCTAGCTAGCATGGCCATTAAGCTGTCTTCCTATGGCTCCACTTTAATAATCAAAGCTCATACCTGAGACAAATGTTTTGTGCACCAGGCTATAATTCTCCTGCTGATGCTGTCTATTCAGACCAGGTTGAAACACATAAGGCGACATTCGAACCAGTAGCACATTGGATGAACGTGCCATACCTAATGAGCCAAATCACAACTTATTACTCAACAGGTAGTGAATGTGAATAAAGACTAAAACATGTCTGGAATATTAAGGTATTCATTAGCTGATATGTCTACATTACGTGCTGGTAATTAAAACGATAGACTTGTCGATGCAAGCAGACTACATACTAATAGTAAAACAAAACAAAAGGTCTCCAAAAATTTTAGATATGAATTAGCTGAACTTGTTGGGTGCCGGAAATGTTACAAGTCAATTATCTTGTGTCCCGGGAGAATGTATCGTTAGTATATAGTCTGTAAATTCCTTATAACTTTCTAACGCCCATCAACTTCCTCTGATTTATAATGAACGCGAAAGTCTGGCCTATGCACAAGCATATAACGCATCAATAAGGTCCAGAGGATCTGACAGCGACATACTTATAAGCGATAGGGATAACTGTCGGGTCGGTACTAGGAAGAGTATTCAAGTAACTAGTAAGTCTGCTGTCATCGACACTCTAGTCGTATATATTATACACCGAATGACTGTAATAACATCTGAAATGCCAAGTGGACGTTTGACGGCAGTCTAGTCAACTTATTTCCCTATGATTATGATCCTGATTGGTTGATATAAGAATAGAACTTGAGCTCTGTGGTAAAGTATAAATACACCGGAGTAAATTTATCTTATAAAAATACGGTGATACAGTACTATTTACTGATGACGTTTCGAGCATAATTTACCGAGAATAACCACATTACGGTACTCACACGTAGTTTGATTATTAGTGTTAAACGCTAAACTGGCACATGAAGTACGTAGATAACATCAATAAATATGATTAGAGAACAGTCAGACGGAATACTCACAAAAGTAAGTTAGTATAAATCCTATTCACAATCCTTTTTTAGTTGCAGAGTGTACAACCACTTATTCACATTGTCATTCCTGAAAGGATCATCGTGAACACCTCCTGATACTCAGTTAAAGCCGACAACACAGGATCTAAGCACTACACGGAGTACGTATTCACGACAAACAGGTGAGAAATTGAAGAACACTAGGTCAATATATTTCGAGCATACTAATTGATTAATTATTATGTATGTCTCACAAGTATATTTGTTTACATGGTACTGCTGTTCTAACTAGTTACCCCACGGTTACCGGTTCAACTGTGCCCCGTGAAATCTAGCTTTTGTTCCTATGATTACAGTAAGGTAAGATAACAGCCACCCAGACACATAGACACTCAAAATTAAAATAAAAGAGGGGCCCACTATTTAATCATTTGACTATGATTATACAGAAAATACTAAGGATGACCAGACCCTATAGTGAATGGAAAGGTAAAATGACCTGCTTCAGAAGATATCCAGACCACATCCTGAATATTAAATAAATCGAAATTCGAATACCAGTAATTACGACGTGTACATCCAGTAGACGAAGATTATTATATTGTGTATTCGAATGATAGCGAGTGTTTGAACATAATCGAACACATCTACTTGGGCAGGCTGCAATTACTCCTGCAGAGCGTTAGAGTTGGCCACAATCAAAGCAAAGGAACGTTTTATGAAATACCTATTTGTGGGAATGGCCTCTGTCAGTACGAAAGGGAGAAGTATCATGAGTTACTCGTCCTAATAATTGTTACTTTCCTGTCTAATACCCGATTACAGACTTCCTTGACTCTTAATCTTATTTTACTCAGACCTAATTGGATACTGACGTACCTCTTTTTGCATCCACCTTGTCATAAACTAGTACAAATGCATTT